TTCTGTGGCGTATGCACTTCTAGGGCTTGTTTCTGCCAGACTCTCCTGTGATGAAATGGCAGGAGCGGTCTGTGAGTGTGTTAGTGTGCGTGTATGTTTTGCTCCGAAGGTACAGCTGAAATGTGTGGGCTTTCCCGCCCTCTGAGATTATATAACATATACCAGCCATGGCCAGCAGTCTCATTTAAAACAGATTTTCTGTTTCTGTGCAACGTGTGCCATCTCTGGAGAGGGGCGGCTGAGCATTTGGTGATTTTGACGTTGATAGGAGCTGCATTTACTGACAAAACCATACATTTCATTCCAGTGCTCTGAATTATTTAAAAGCTCTGTCAAGCCTCGGTGGTGCATTTGTGCAAATGTATCTAGCTGATTGGCAAATGTGAATTTAGTTTTCGTTTGCCATCTATTGGAGACTAAAGTGGCTCATTGAAAATATTTATTAACATTTACTAATGTGCTCTGGGTGGGGTTTGACAGTAGCTTTTAGTGGGATTCAAGTGGGATTGTTTATAAACCACACAACATGAGGCTTTTTATGCTATGTTTATGCAATACAATTATCAGCGGGAGTAATATATGCAAATTATGCATTTGAAAAAATTGTTTTGTGTTCAAACAGATCAGGTGAATAAAAGCTCACCTCAGAAACCTGGGAGTAGGAATATCTTCAAAAAGCTCATCTGTTGCCTTCGAGCTCAAGATGCCCAACTGCCAACATCACCTACCCATGATGCCTTGCTAGCGCCTGAGGACAATGGGACAATTGCCAAAGTATTATATTAACCATTAATCAACACTTTGTCACTTTTTTTGTTCCAGTTTGTTATTTTGTATCATTAAAAATACGAAACAAATAAGGAAAGAAACATTTTAAGGATTAACTAGAAATCGCTGCCAATCCTTAAATGATGTCATTTCGCAAAAAGAAACTCTGTACATTGTCAAATTGTATATTTCTGTTTAATTAATAAAATAATTTATTTACATATTATATATACACACTGTATATGTGGGTAGGTAAATAGAAAATATTCCATATAAAATGTGTGAATTATAATCTGGATGTGTAAAATTAAATGTACGGTTCAGACAATAAAGGGGCAATGCAATGTATTTTTTCAATCAATCAAATCTTTTTTCAAAAGAAATAATAAAATATTGATCGGTTACATATTATCTGTAGGTACCAGGAGAGTGTCTGCTGCCAGCAGTGACCTCTCAGGACCAGGGGAAGGTCTGTGTGGTCATAGATCTGGATGAAACACTGGTGCATAGCTCATTTAAGGTACATCCAGTTTATCAAACACTGATTGGTATTGTAAATTTGACATTTTAAGAAGCTTCATACTGTTTAACTTTAAGAATAGATTCATGAAATGATCTGTACAATAATTATTGTATTTGCATTTAAACAACAGAGTTGATAACAGTTCCACACTGACTCCACCGGTGTTTTTAACTGTATCCACATTGTGTTTTTGTAGCCAATAAGCAATGCAGATTTCATTGTGCCTGTGGAGATTGAGGGGACCACACACCAGGTGAGATCTGATAAATGTTTGTGTATGTGAGAAACAGCAGTAATCTCCTGCCATTGCGCACGGTCTTGAATTGTGCCTGAGGAAAGAGTGGAGATGTTGTTCTGTATTCAAACGTGAATGATGAGCGCCACCTGCTGGACTGATGTGAGAACAACACTTACTTAGTGGACGAGGATTTTGACGTCATGTGTGCAATAAAATAACAAGAGACTCTATTTGCCCATTGATTCTTTTGTTTTACTCACAAAACTGTGGTAAACACCACAGCTAGAATATAATATTCATAGTTTTTAAAATTAGGAGATTGAACTTGTATTAAAATATTCCCTAAACCTTTGTGGTTCTCTGCAATTTTTCACTGAAACTCTACATTTGGCCTCTGCCTGGTTCAAGTAATCCAGGATAGGTTAGTTCCCACTAGTACGGCCTATTCTTGATTACTTGTTTCAGGAGGAGGCTATGAGCGACAGACAGCACTAGATGGACCTACAGAACATGATTTATTTTATTTACAGAATTTTAAAATTGACTAAAGATGCTACTTTGAAGACTCTGCATTTGAATGGTGAATTAAAAGCATTAGTCTCATAAACAACAACAAACCTGTCTGTGTTTTAGGTGTACGTGTTGAAGAGGCCATATGTGGATGAGTTTCTTCAGAGGATGGGAGAACTGTTTGAATGTGTTCTGTTCACTGCCAGCCTGGCTAAGGTATTCAGACAAATAGAATAGGTATTCAGGAAATAGAAATCCCTCACTAGTGCTGGTCAGTTAAGCTCTTGTAGCATTAGATTTATTTTCTTCGCCAGTATCAAAGTTTCCTTAACCCATCCCTCCTTCTCCCCATTCATGGCTGTGATAGTATGCAGACCCCGTGACTGACCTGCTGGATCAGTGTGGCGTGTTCCGCACACGGCTCTTCCGGGAATCTTGTGTCTTCTATCAAGGCTGCTATGTTAAAGACCTGAGTCGCCTCGGCCGTGAGCTCCACAAAACCCTGATCCTGGACAACTCCCCTGCCTCCTACATCTTCCACCCTGAGAATGCTGTAGGTTTCACTGTCCTGCTGCTATTTAGCTTTTTTGTTAAAGCCTGCCCTCTAGATTCTCCCTCTTGCTATTTAACAATTGTGTATTTTTGCTGTATTTGACATTTATACAGTGGGGTTCAAAAGTCTCAGATATGTATATATACTACCTTTCAAAAGTTTGATAACTATGTTTTTTAAATGAAATTAATACTTTAATTCAGCAAGGATACATTCAGTTGATAAAAAATAACCACAAAGACAATGTTACAAAAGATTTCTATTTCAAATAAATGCTGTTCTTCAAACTTTCAAACAAATCTTTTTTCAAAACCAAAAAAGAAAAAAAAAGAACAGTAGTGTACATTTGAACGGTGGTTGTATGTATTATTATATCTATCATAATACACACAAATATATATTCTATTCTATATACTGTATAAATTATATATATATATATATATCAAATATTAAGTTCGTATTAACAAATGTTTAAAAGCTGAACTAATTGTAGACTGTTGGACCCAACTGTATATGTATTTACTGATGTACCACCATCTAAAATGATCTTCATGCTTTTAAAATACATAAACCCAGTAGATTTAAATAATCCCAAAATGATTAGATTACTTTAAGCCTGTAAAGTAGTGATGTATAATAACCTCTGTGCCTTTAACAGGTTCCTGTACTCTCCTGGTTTGATGACTTGGAGGACACTGAACTGCTTCACCTCATCCCAGTATTTGAAGAGCTAAGTCAGGCTGATGATGTCTACAGCAGACTCGAACAACTCAGGGGTCCATAATCCCTACACCACCAGACCAGGGCAAACCTCCATGTTGTGTAGCACTGACTGCCAATCACACGTGAGCGGCTCATATGACAGGAGACTCCGCCTTCTGACCTGAAAACAAACACGAAAGCTCATAATTCTGCTCAGCACAAAGTATATGCGGTTCTGCTACATGGTTTGAGGACATCGAGCAGTTAGCGATGATAAATATTGGGGTCAGACGCCAACTTTGTCTCCGTCATTGAGCTTGCCTTTTGCAATAACAATTACAGATTTTGTATTCCTTTTTTACTTTTCTATTTTTTGCTATTAGCATTTTTTTTTTACATTTATAATGACATCTTTTGGGAGACTAAAACAGTTCAGAGGGCAGGTCATCCATAATCCACAACAATGAAGCTGAAGTCACTGTATTATGTTATAACACAAAGCACAATAAACTTTCAGGCCAGTCTCTATGCAAAGTCCTACCTGAACTCAGCCTCACACTTTTTCAGTCTTCAACATTCATAATCATACTTTAAAGGAAAACTAGTGTTTCTTGTGTATTCCAGATTAGAGCAAAAAAAATGCCACAGGAATACACATCGTCTTATCCAGCATGCTATGCATACTATTTCCATAAATGCAAATGTGACACCAAGCACCCATTCATCCTTGTTTCTGATAAGTCTTATTACTTTACACAAGGCCTTGTTTAAACTGCAGTTTTTTTTTACTGTCGCTGAGCTGCGTTAACATGGCATTATATAAAATACACTGTTTTGTGTGAATTACAACTTCATGCTCATCTTGACACTTCCTGTATTCATCTTAAAGTGGCCTTATGTCTGCTTCAAGTGTACTTGAAGGGGTTTTATGATACGTGAGGAGCAGAATTAACACCACAGAATGAACCAAAGAGATTTATCTTGTTCAGTAATTGTCTTTCTCTCTGCTGTATTTATGCAGACAATTATTTGTGCTGTCATCTATGTGTATATTTGGTTGAACCTGAATTGAACTTGAATTGTCTTTGTATGATACTGTCTGTCGACGCAGACCACAAACTTCATCTTATTTGAACATGATCATGTTTTTATAAGTTGTTTTTACTGTAGCACAAATACTCATTTTTATAAACGGCAAATATTGGAAAGGGCAGATTATTGTCTTTTGGTTAAAAAACTGCCCTGATCAAATCTGTTGTTATTTTTTGACTTTTGTATTTGCAACAATAAATTTTTTTCTGTGGAACATTATGTGAATGTTTTCTGCATATTGTCTTATCGAGTCACTGTAATCTATTAATAATAATAATAACCTTATACATAGCTGTAGAGAATTCAAATAGCATGTAAATAGCATTCAAATTCAAGACACATCCACTTTTGAATGATGAAACACCACAAAACAAGCATTCAGATTCTTTGGCTTGGTTTGATACCAAATAGGATGTATCATAAATTTTCAGTCACATTAAATTGCTTCTATCATCTGAAAAGTAACTTGTACATCCTTGTTCTGACCACTAGGGGCACCAGAATCCATCTCAGTATATATGAAGACACGTGTCATATTTTCTATAATAAATACACCATAGGAACATACTTAAAAAGGTTTTATTGAGTTGCATGAGTGATGGCGATTGCTTAGAAAGGAGATTATGAAAACACATTTATGGCTTTTGCAGGACAGAGTGAAAACAAAAATCAGATAGCACCTTATATAAACATTTTAAAGATATATTAACAACTTCATCATAAATTCTTTTGTAAACATACCAAACTAATATAAAATATTCCTGACAATTACAACAAGGTAAATAACAAAGGTTATAACGGCAGGCAAATTAGGGAACTACGATAGTAACACAAACTACTTATAAAAAAATAAAAATAAAAGAATTTTGAGACATGCGTATAAGAGTGAGGATTTTCTCTCTACAAAAATTTTACACAGGCCTGGAAAGACTGTTGGATGACAAAGCATATATGCTTGTGAATGTTTATAATTAGTCTTTTGTTGTGGTCGTTTCGTTAAAAAAAAAAAAAAACTATTGAGGTCAGCACAGATTTGAAAGGATTTGGGTTGTACTATTAATCTACTAACCTATGGCTTTTTGAGCAAACACTTGAAATTGAAAAGTTTTTTGCCTGTAATCCATGTTGCAGGATTAGCATCGTCAAGCGCATGCAACGCGCATTGACTTGAATTGCACCAAAATGTTTTAGGCTGAAGAAATACGATGGGTTTGTGGGAAATATTTCCCCCCAAAAAACCTTTGCTGAGTAATCAACATGAAACCTGGCCCACAGGAGGCTAATTTCTAACAGCTGTGGAAAGATGCATAAGGCAGAGTCAGCATTATTACATCAACATGAAGAAATCGTCAGCCACCTTTTCAAAATTCCTAAGGAACGATTTGATGATTTTTCTCTCGTGTCTAGTCAGTCAGAGCCAAACTGGGATAATAAAATCCTGGGTTTAAGTTTAAGCTTTGTTAAAGTTCACTGATTGTAAGCAGGGTGATCCAACAATACACAGTTCAAAATTAGGTCACAAGCTCCCGAGTCACAAGTTTCTTTAAATCTTTGCAAAAACAAAGGTAACACAAAAAATAAGTCATGGCCAGAACTGGAGAACAAACTAACCTAGAGACGTACAGCGAGACATGTACACACAAAGTCAGGCACAGAACATGTTTGAACAGAACATAAAAGGAGTAACCAATGAAAGGTGGTCTTGTCTAACCACACTATTCAAAGAAAATAAATAAATAAACGTAAATAATAATTCACCGTGGAACACTGTAGCTCTTTCTTATATGGATCGCACTTACTGTATGTTGCTGCTACGAGGTTTTTTTTCTTTAAACACAATGAATCAAAAGTCTACGGCTGATGCAGTTTTACACAGATGCGTTTTTTTCTTTTCATGAAATATGCATATTAAATTAATTGAAAATCACATATATTAACATTCACTTTCCAATAACTTTACACAAATGTTACCAAAGAGTGTGTGCACCGATGTTGCATGAGAACCAGAACATTCTGTGAGATTAAAAACTGGAAGACTTGTCGCGATGAGCTTGGATTCGTCCTTGAAACATAGTTTAAAGATAATATGAGCTGAACGTCACTACTTTTGCTACCACTTCAAACAGAGAACACGAATGAGATGATATAATGGACTAAAATTACATCACCACAAACACTGTAAAAGTCCTTCTTCCGACCATCAGGATAGAAACGTGGGTAGTTCGTGGGTGACATGTGGCGTGCGGTTTTTTTGGTCAAAAAAAAAAAAAAGGGTTATCCCGTAAGTATCCACCTTTGAAAAATATCTAAGTGTCACGAGAATTGGGGGTTACAAAAAGGTTGTACCTGGTTATCATTCATTCCCTCTGAAAACACTTCAGCCTTGACTACCACACGAGGACAGGCTGTCATAGAGGGAATCGCTCAGGGACTCGGGAGTCTCCAGGACCTGGGGATGGCTTGGAGACAGGCCGTCGTCAGGTCTCTCTTTCACCAACTCCAAACCAGTGTCCCTCACCATGTCTGGGTTAGCGGGAATACGGCTTTTGCCTCTACGTGCCTGACCGGGTTGAGGAAGACTTCTCGGGTCTCCCTCGCGGCTGGCTACAGAATCACTAGTCTTGTTGCGCTGCAGGTAAAACAGGCCCAAAAAGGCACAGTGAGTAACACTGAACAGTACATGATAATATATAACATGACAACACATAATAATACTTTAATCATTTCATTAATCATAATAATACTTTATTACAGTCTATGTGTGGCGATTTAAAAAGTCTATTTAAGTCAATTAAAATTCTAACTGTTATGCTACCTGTTATTATTATTAGTCATTTTAAAGATTAACTTTCAGTGAACTTTAGATGATGGCAAAGGTAATCTAAATGCAAGAAAGTAAACATGCTGCTGAACTTTACTGTGTGTACACTAAGAGAAACACACATCATTCAAAAGTTTGGGGCCATTATGATTTTTTGTTTTGTTTTAAATAAATTAATAAATTTATACTATTATAAGGAGGCACTAAATGGATCTAAAGTGACAGTAAAGACATTTATAAATAAATGCTGCTCTTCTGAACTTTCGATTCATCAAAGAATGAAAAAAATGTATCACCGTTTCCACAAAAATGTTAAGCAGCACAACTGTTGATAACGGAAGAAATGTTTCTTGAGCACCAAATAAGCAGATTAGAATGATTTCTGAAGGATCATATGACACTGAAGACTGGAGTAATGGCTGCTGAAAATTCAGCTTTGCCTTCACCGGAATAAGTGACATTTTAATATATATTCAAATAGAAAACTACAATTTTAATTTGCAATAATATTTCACAATATTACTGTTTTAAAGTATTTTTGATCAAATAAATGCAGCCTTGGTGAGCATTAGAGACTTCTTTTAAAAACATTACAGGTTGGCACCGATAGCCTCATGGGCAGCACACCGACAAATAGAGCCGTTGCACTTCGGGGCATCCAGAGTTCGAGCCCTGGCTCGCAGACCTTTCCCGATCCCGCCTCCCTCTCTCTCTCCCACTTTGCTTACTGTCAATATACAGTAGTCAACATTTGAAGTGGATCAAAACCTTTCATCAAATTTGTCCTAAAACCAAAACAATACCCGTTCTTGTCTTAGGACAACTTTGATGAACTTTTTTGATCCACTTCAAATGTTGACTACTGTATACAGTCCTATCAAAATAAAGGCAAAAAAATGGCAAAAATAAATAAGAAAAAAAAATACCTTTACAAAAAATCTTACGGACCCCAAGCTTTTGAAAGGTAGTGTATATAAATTGTGTTTTAATAAAATAAAAAATTGTTGTAATTGTCTTGTTGGGTGACACTAGGATCTAAAGTGATGCTCACCCTCTTAAATGAAGTCTTGTGACTCACTGGCTCCACTCCGTCTCCAACGCCAAGATAAACCTCAGACGGCTCTGCAGATGCTTTGAGGTTTGGGAAAGTCCAGTTCTTTGTGGGGCCTAATTTCATAGGTGCACCACAGATATCAGTGCCTGAAATTAATAAATCAAAGCTGAGAAATAAAGGAAAAAGAAACACTATCTGGAACTTCTTTCTCTTAAGTTAAGTTCACACTACACGACTTTAAACGTCTGCAGATCGCTGTGCTGTTCACACTACGTGACTCTATGTAAATGATCTGCAACAGGGGGTTACACACTACACGAGCTGACAACAACTCTGTCACCCAACGACTCTACAAACCACGTTTTGTTATGAAAACACACGTGAGAATTGGAACGGGAATGTCGCGAAACAACATGTGAAACAGGAGTTGTTTATTTGAAAATGGATGTCGGGAAGAAATTTGTGCTGCAAGCTGTTTGCTCGATGAAAGATTTTGCTCCATTTATTGTGTCTAAACTTTTCTTTAAGCCATGTTGCTGCTGTTGTTTTTCTTCCGGTGACCTCAACCCATGCCTTGCTCTCTCATTGGCTGTAGCTCGTCACAACACATGACACCACGTGATGTCGAGGCGGCCGACCGGTCCAGATATTTGGCATGCTAGATATTTGTTTGCCGTCAGCGACGCGTCAGCGAGCCTCTTTGATGCGTCGTTGTGTAGTTCACACATAAAGATTGCTGAGCGCCAATCACCCGCTGATTTGCCCCCGATCACAGCCCGACCTGTCGGCGAGCTCGTTAACTTAAAAATCCTGTAGTGTGAACTTAGCATTAATTAACGTACAATCATTCTATATTGAAAACTCACATAAGTGACAGTTAAAAAGTATTATATACCATCATGAACGATGTTTGCAATCTGGCTGGATGGAATCTTGTTTTCCAAAGTGCTGGTGTGATGATCCATATCCTGACCCCCCATATAATCCTCTTCTAAAGATGACAGCTCTCTTTCCAAAGTCCAGGCCTTGTGGGACATTTTCATCCCTGAGCCATGTTTTCCCTGGAGATGAGAAGGGTCACTCTCCCCATGGGCCTTCCCTTTGGGAATGCTTTTGCACCCAGCATTTGCACTATAGTCAGGAAGAGGGAAGGTGCCAATGCCACTATCAAGGGTGTGTGTGGAGATTCCAGATCCTGAAAGAGAGGAATTTAAATATATTATTCATATTTTATTATTTTAAAATACATGAATGATTGTGCTTAATAATATAATAATATTAATTTGAATTATAATTAAATTACGTAATATTAATTTTTTATCTTATTTAAATTATACATGAACACATATTTTCGAGTAGCACTGCATAATCACACCCTAAACATCAAGATAATACTTTCCATACAGCTGTTGCTGGATGACTCGCATATGGGAGCCACAGAAATTCAGACGCACCTAGATTATTCATCATCAGTGACAGGTTAAAACCCGTTTTTTGTCGCTACATGCTAACCAATTGAAATTCCTGCCTCTGGAAACATTGAAAACCATGATGTCATGCATTGTGATCATGCCTTACCTGCAAAGTGTTCATGATGAATCGTCTCAGCCAGGTTCTCATCTGACGTGACATCTTTACTCAGTAACGCAGAAACCTGTGAAAATGCCGTCAAGGTAACATTAAAAGTCATATTGAGAACTTTCAAAACGACATTGTGCATTACATCCATGAATTTCACTTTATACCTTTTCCATGTCATCACTGCTTCTTGTCTGACCAGCAATGCCAGCGCTCTGGTGACTGAATACAGGTCTGGATTTACAGTCAAACGAGAGGCGTCGATGTGCCATACTGATGCCACCAGTGTCCTTCCCATCAACCCTTATGGAAGAATTTGAATACAATTGATGTGAAAATACTATTCACTGTTTGTCTACAGTATATTTACAGTTCAGCTTGTTCATCAGAGACAAAGCGTATGGCTTTGGAATACCTGGAATATAGCAGGTAGACTACTTTTATGATAACTATATCTTCCTTCATATTTCTTCCTTCAGTCATATTCAATTTAAGTTTCAAAGCACATTTTCTCACCATACTCATTCATCAGTTATTTCAATTAACTTTCAACACCTGCAAACCTGCCCTACAACTATGCACTTGAAGATTAAGGAATTAAGGATTTAAGTCATTAATGTGGCCTTTGACTTGTAGCTTTACCGTGGGTTGATTCATACATTAAATGAATATGTCTTGGAACAAAAATGCTGAGAATATGACTGAAAATATTATTTAAAAAATAACATTTAATTGCATTAAGCCAAACCAAATGGCTTAAACTAATTTTTTTCTCTTTTTTTACCTCCTTGAAAAATGTACTTGTGCCGTCTTTCTTTAAAACAAATGTCAAAATAAAACACCTTTGTATAAGTTGTACAAGTATAATTACTGTATAAGTTGTTTTGTACTAACCGGTTTAGCAGTTGCTGCATGAAGTTGTCAGATGGCACTCCTCTGTACATCACAGACAGCTGGCCTTGGGATTGGTCCATCACCACCTCACAGGAATGTCCCTTTCCTTGTCGGTCCAAGGCCACTCCATTCATATAAGCCCGTTCTTCTTCAAGAGCTTTATGCAAGCCCTCTGCCTTCTCAATCAGCATGGAAATGTTTAGGCTCTCGCTCTCAGTTTTCCTCGCAGCCCCCTTGGAATCCTTGCCCACTGAGGATATATTGAGTTTCCATTCTCTCTTGTCATCCTTCACTTTTGACGTTTCTGGTTTACGGCTAAGAGCCGGAAGCTTGCTTTTTCTCAGACCAAACCAGTTGGCAATTCCATTGGAAGCCTTTTGCTTGACCTCAGCCGTTTGCCCTTTATCTTGCTCTTGCAGTTTCAGCATATTTTCCTCAATGCCCTTCATGACCTTCTGCTCGATAGAGGACTGTGGACTGGGAGCAGAGTGCCTTTTTTCTTCAGCAGACTCTACTGGCCTTGGTGGTGGAGGAGGAAGACTCTCTCCATAGGAAGAATTCTTCTTCTTATTGGCCCTGAGATGGCTCCTGTCCTCAGATTTGGACATGTACCTCTGAAACTCTTGAGTAGGTTTCCCATCTCGGTTCATCAAGGGTGGCACAGTTTTAGTTGGTGATTTGAGGGGGATTTTATTGGGGCTGCCACTATGGGGACCAGCAACATTTTTTCCATTATATGAAAGGCTATGAGGTGTCGTACTCTTAGCATAACTCCGCAAAGCCTGCGCAACCTCTAAGTTAGTAGATGGTGGATGCATCTTAGATTTTGGGCTCTCCTGCTTTGCTAAGAATGTTCTAGAGGATTCATGTTCAAGTTTGGAGACTAACGTGCTAGAGGGAAGAGACCTGACAGCTTGCTCAACATGCTGAAAGGCTGGTTGTTTTGAAACAGCACCATCAAGATGACCTGAATGGTATGATTTATCCTCAATGGAATCTGTATTTTTAGGAAGTCTATATTCTCCTGACTTACAATCAGAGTTTCTGTCAGCAATTTTGCTTTTATCAGTGGTTCGTGTTGATATGCTTGCAGCGGACTGAATTTCTTTCTTCTCTGCAAGTGGAGGACAAGTTGTGGACTCATCTGGGTTCCTCAACTTGCCAAGTGCAGCTAGTCGTTCTTTAAAAGAATGACTTGATTCACCTGAATGTCTACCAATCCCTGATTTCTTAGGAACAGGCGGTGGATCGTTCCTTTTAAAAGGTGATTCAGAGATTTGTGAATCATTATCTACCATTTCATTTTTCTCTTGGCTCCTGGACCTCGTGCTAATCCCACTCTGAACCTTCTGGGATGACGACTGACTAGGCAGACTGCGATGATTGACTTGCTTATGCCACACCGGGCTACCTGAGCTGTCCTCTTGGTCTGAAGAATCAGACTCTGGTGAGATTTCCTTCTGCTTGAGATTCGTTGGTCGCTCTATACCAAACTTTGTCTGCTTTCCTTTCGCACCTTCATTAGCCGGGCTGGAATTTTGAAGAGATGAGCTCACTTCTCCAAGCAACTGGGATACGTCGGTGCTGCACGTTTTGGAGATGTCAGAGACATTTTCGTAGTGTGGAATTTTCTGAGGGGTCTTTTGAACATGAGAACTTTGTGTAGGCTTGGCTACACGAGTTGTTTTAGGGATACCACAGCCAAGGTCCTTTGGCAATGGTGCAGGGACATCATCAGGCTGGGGTGGAGAAGTTGGAGCAGAATGTGACTCCGATTTAGAAGGGGGCAGCTGTCTTTGCCTCTCTGTCGTGGTGGCTTTTCGCGGTGCTACAGGTGAATTGTGCACCTCATAGTTGTTGCTCCGGCAAGGAATCTTCGAGCTACGAGTCAACTGAGGACTGAGACGAGGTGGAGCAGGTACTGCAGTACGTTCTCCAAGAGTGGGTATCTTAAGGAACTTGAGCAGTTTGGAGGGTGAGGCCTTGACCTCTCTAAGGCAGGAAACTTGATTCGGGCTGACCACAACTTTCGATCTAATGGACTGAGGATCGGATGGGGTGTCTTTCACAGGGACGGAGATATCATCCAGTACTTTTGAGGCAGTATGATTCTCATTAGGAGAAAATAACAGACCTTTGTGGACTGGTTCATTTTCTTTGAGTCCAAGAGTAGGCAGCTTTGAGGTGGCTATGTTGGCTCGACAGACACAGTCAGCATCTTCTTTTGTTGCAAACTCTTCCTTCTCAAGTCTTTGTGGCGCTACAGCATTTAAGTGCTTCAAGTCCGAGTCCAGTAGCGCCACATCAATTGTGCTATCATCACAAATCGTCTCATTGCAGGTGCTGCCGCTTGACCTGTTGGATTGAGATTCAAGCAGAAGGTCAGATAACCTATTCTTGTCTCTTGTTTCTACCAACACGTGATCGGATCCTCTGGGCTGATCTCTTTCTGAAATGGTCAGTCTTGAGTATGATTCAGGGACTTCTAATGAGTGGGGATCATTCGGAGGGTTAAGACCTTGCTCTGCTGAAAGAATGGACATATCTCCAGATGTCCTATTTATAAACAGTTCACTTGTACCTGTGGCAGGCTTCACAAGGCTCTGCATTTCCATGTTCTCTTGGAAATCAGGCCGAGCCAAATTGAGGTTATCGATGGTAATGGGGCCTGAAGTGCAACAATTGTGGCTACTCTTGACTAAGCTGACTGAATCTTTATTGGACAGCATCAGGCATGTGCTACAACTACCACATTTTACATTGCTGTGCTCTCCTCCATTTAAATGCTGATGTGTGCAAACATCTGGACAGGAATGGGAACAATGTGCTTTGGGTGCATTGCACCTGGATGAACTGTCTCTGCAGGCTAATACAGCCTCATTAGAGGCAAGAGCCTGGCTACAGTCACAGATCGAGGGAATGCCAGAGGAACGATGGTACCGAAGTGGATCGGTTTCTTCAAGCTTGCGGAGGACCTCCAAAATGTGTGCTTTCTTCTTCAAGAATGGGGACATGGCCTCCATGGACGTGGATGAGCCTTGGGTCTCTGGTATGCAATTTTGTGCACATTCGCTGTTTCCCTGTGGAACCAAATCATAAGGATGAGGTAAAGTTGTCATACAAGACTGATTCAACAAAGACTTTGTGTATGGCTCTTACCTTGGCCTGTGCATTCCTCTGAGCCTCAATCAGTTTGCTAGGTTCACCGTGCTGCAGCTCGCCGATGTGCTCCAGACAGGGTGCTGGTTGCTATAAGACAAGACACATCAGGTAAGCTTTAAACTTCTTATTATATGAATCAATTTTTGGATTATGCAAAACACCTCACGTATAACAACTATGCATGCACAACAAGGTTTTTTTTTGCCTGTTTACACACTTACAATTTACAATTCCTTGTAGTTACATGAAAAAATGAAAATAAATTTAAACAGGAAGACGTTAATTGAGCCATTTTCTTCATTTTACAAACAAACCTAATAGGACATCTCTGTGGACTTCGAAGAATGTTTTATGAAAAACAAATTTCAAACTAAAATCGGACCTGCACTGTGCATTTTGTCATCTTATGTTGAAGGATTTAATCATTTACCTGCTGATGTACACATGATTGACTGTGCAGTTTCTCCTGCAGGAGCTCACACAGTGTTCTGTTCTGCCTCTCCAAATCAAACACACGCATTTTCAGCTTAATGCATTCCTCTCTGAGATCCTAAAAGAAAAATCCACAGCTTTTAAAAACCTTTTAAAAATATATGACTAGAATATGTACACCACTTATAAAATACACAACCAACATATAAATTAATCAATAATTTAATAATTCAATAATTTGTAATATATATGAAAACAATTATGAATTATATATAAAATAGCCCTTTAGACTTTGTAGTTCAAATGAAGTTTTTATAACTATGTTCCTGATGCAAAACCACAACGTTTTTACCTTTTGATTGAGTAAAGCTTGGACAACATGGTTGGCGACCTAAAAATAAACAGAAATTAAACATAAAATACTTTCAGGACTATTTTATTTATCATCTGACTATCTAATTGGCTTCTGCATTAGCCAAAAACATAGCAAATCTCCATGGGAAGGCAAATGCAAGGGTTGGTAAGGAACTCACCTCGTCCAAGCATCGTTCATATGCTTCTCTTTGACTCTCGTTTGCTAATGAAAGGGCAGAGTTCTCGGCCTATACAAAAATAGAACAGTTTAAACAGTAAGTCAAGGAAGAAAAGTCAACAAAACTGTATTCTTGGTGAAAGTATATGGCACTTACTTGAAGCTCTCTCACTCGCTCCAGAAGCTCACTGCTACTCTCTTCCTCAAGATAGGACTCCAGATCACCCTCCTCAGACTCAAAGTCCTCATCTACTCTATTTTGGGCCTCTTCCGACATCGTCTCTACCTAACTAAAAGAAAGAGAGTGATTAAAAAAAAAAATATTGTGCCATTATTTTATAGTTTCCCCACCCACAACCTAAACTGCTCAGAGTGAAAGAAAAGTGCTATGTAGATGCAATAAATTATTTCTTCTTATAATCACTCTTAGAGCTTAACTGTCAAATGTTTTTAATGTCGACATAAATACATTCATCTGTCCCAGCTTAATATACAGAGACAACTGTAAGTGTGGGGCAGGGCTATCTGTTTGTCCAACTGATAGAAGATGTGGGGCGTGTTTGGCGAAACTTGTTTGAAGACACATTATTAATGCAATTCTCTTTGGTGTGCTAATGAAGCAGAAATTACATACTCAAACTTCAACAATCTGTAAACCAGCTTTCCAAACATTCTTGTGTACTTTCTGAGTAGCTACAGAACACACTAGCGGTGTGCCTTTTAATCTCGACGTAAAAGAGTTAGTGTGATTATCAAGTCTTTGAGACAGCTCTGAGTGAGTAAAGCAGGACTTGAGTCCCTGGCAGGACACATTTTCAGAGAGGATTAGACTGAAGAGGTCTGAAAACACAAGAGGATTCCAGCCATCATGCAGATTCATGACCTACTGACTTACTGAATGTGGCACAGAATCAGATCCTCTTGACCTGCATTTAAATTTAGACAACAAAACGGTGTTCAAAGACACGTGTTCTAGTGCGATATAAGAACACTAAAATGAGTTATTCTGAAATTAAACCAATCATATATGAAATGATTGCTATCCCAAGCATTTGTGTATGTTTTAATAAATTATGATGGTCAAACCTGCTTGGCAAACCAAGAATTTTAACATTACCCCAATTTTGCTTTGCACATAAAGACATTACTTTATTAAATGTAGGGATGCACTGTATGGCCCATACTGATCAGTATTTGCAATTTGAAGCCATTAACCAATATATTGGCCAATATTAAAACTTTTTTTTTTTTTTTAAATAACTTTACATATCATAATGATACAAATTATACAAAAAAGTAACATTCATGAGACAAAAACCAATGTGACCAAAAAATATACTGGATAACATTTTGAACTCAAAATCCAGTGATATAAAAATATATATTAAACTTGCTTCTCTTGTGTTAACAGTCTGATTTTGATGGCTAACAGTGTTTTTGTTAATGTAAACGTCCTTATTGTTTAACTATATGGTAGCCTACAGTCACCTTTATCAACCAATTCCCACCACTGCACTATACCATAAATCTGACCTTCAATATGAACAGCGGATGTAGTCAACAGACAGACTATCACTGCAAAACTGAATCTAAAAATCAATATGTTCATGGGACTTATTGTTTATTGATCCTCTAAGCATTCTGTGTGCTCATTTATGTAGTAAGCTTATCTATAGACGTCTAACTGTTTGCGAGTGAATAGCTTAAATGAAAACTCCATATCTGGAAGTAAATGAACACAAAGGCTATTGGGGTCAGAGGGTTGACAGGGTGCAGCGGGTCAGAGAGCACTGCTCTGTTTTAACAGTAAAGATGGCACTATTCGACAGGCTCCAGGCCACACTATTGAGCTGGTAGTTCCTGCGGTGCCAGGAGGCTCCTTTCACATGACAGACTCTTTTCACAAAGACACAAGGCATAGCCTTCCGATAGAGGAAGTTGTATTTGTAGCGTAACTGTCACACATTAAGCCGTGCAGAAGAGAAGCATACATACATAAGAGATACATAAGTGATAAATCATAATTTAAATCCAGAATTTAATTCATCTACAAATCCACAAATCCTATAAAAGTATTTTACTGACAAGGTACCAGATGTTTAATAAATAGATATATAAATTATAAATTTTTAAAATAAAATAAAATAAAATAAAGTAAAATAAAATATAGTATAGTATAGTAGCCAAAAACTCACCAAGAAATGAATATAGTGAAAATCCAATGCCTTGGTCAAAAAGCTTGATATTTTACGCCGTAAAAAGCAAGTTTATACGATATTCCTCTGTAGAGTGAATAAAGCTAGAGTAGAACTAACCGGTATTCCAGGTTAGTACTCTTGTTTCTTGTCTGAAAAGAAAAACCTAAATAAAACATCCCTCTGGATTTCACTGTGTCACGCTCGAGTCCTCATGTGCATCTGTCTAAAAAGAGTTGTGTGATAAAGATGATCTCGAGCAACAAGGAAGCTATATCTGCATATTATGCGTACGTGATGGCATATCGGTTTCACAACATTTGCAATACTGGATTAGCTAGAACTGTGTCACGTCTCTACATTTTTACCCTGTGTTGTTAATGCTTGACCGTTTTCCGAATGCTGGAGGCCAGGGCTGGGCAAAATCTCAAGAGGATCACCACTAGCCTCGATCATCTTTCTTTTTCAACTATGAATCACTTGCAGGCAATAAAACATTTATGGATGAGTAAGCTGATTCTGTTGAAACAGAGCCTCAAAAGCCTATTTTAGAATCTTTATGATAATACTGTCAGTGGAGAGATGACTGTCAGTCAAGAAATTCCCCTTTGTTGCTACTGTACTTTTGGGCCTTCCTCAAAAGTCTCCAGAGACAACATCCAACATTCCTTAAGAGATGTTTGGACTAACTAACTCTGAATCATGATGGTTGACTAAACCAGTGGTTCAAACTTAATTTTCAGATGTTAACTGAAAATTACTGTCTGTGTTCAATAGAACAGGGCTAATCCTCTGTACTCTTGTAAGGATCTAAGCAGATTAGCATCAGTTTGCATCTGGTCCTAAACTTAAGGTTGCTGCATACAGACTGTCATATTTCTCTTTGCTATACACACACACATGACAACCTACCCAGACCTTTAATGGGATTTTTTGTTTATTAAATACATGAAATGAAAATTGGGTCATTATTTACTCATCCTCATCTTGTATTTTCTTTATTCAAGAGCAAAACGGCTGGATTACACGAACCACACTCCAGTGTAACGAAAGTGAATGAGGACTAGGTCTCAATGACAAAAAAAAGTTGTCTATATCTGAATTGTGTACTACATTCAAAGTCTTCTAAAGCCATAGGATGCTTCTGTGTAACAAATAGACCAAACAAAAACATTATTTTACTGGCAATCATCTCCTCCAGTCAGTGAGCTGTTAACCGCTGCAAGCGGATCATTGAATCAGTGAGTTGAACTTCAGATCAGGTTTAGTCCGATTGGTGAAGAAATTATTGAGATTATTGTGAATTTGATAAACGGATTCATTTAAAAGATGCAACACAAAAGAATGATTAATTTACAAAATGGATATCATTATCATGCATGAATGAATCGCATGGACCACCTTTATGACTTCTATAGTGCTCTTTGCAACATTGACAGTTATTGAACTGAATAGAAACAAGACTGAACTAAATTGAGCTGAATAATGACGATGTTATCTTCTGTAAAGCTGCTTTACAGCTGAAGTTAAATTTGTTTCTGGTTAATTTTACAACATTAACACTGTTATTTTTCTGTTTATTAATGTGAAGCTGCTTTCAAACAATCTGTACTATATAATGCACTATATATCTTTTTTTGGGGGGGGGAGCATGACAGCATAATATTGGCAGCATTATACATTGAAACAGAGTGGCCAGGACATGCTTCATAAATTCACCTTCTGTGTTCTACAAAAGCCATACAGGTTTGGAACAACATGAAGGTGAGTAAATTAAATTTTTGGGTGAAGTGTCTCTTTAAGAATCATGCATAAAAAAATCCACATTGATCAACCACTATTGTAAACGCCGGGGTGGAAGTACCCACCATAATATCTAGGATGGTTATAGCCCTGCTGTATGTACCATAGCATAGTGGAGTCGATTTTAGCGACAAGCAAAAACAGAGGCAAACAAGCACCCATGCCAACAGGATTCTTGGCAGCGCTCAGGCACAATGCAAGCCCCTTAATCCACTGATATGCTGTATAGTAAATATAGCAATAAAGCACTGTGGCATACCCAAAACAGGGCCCCAAACTCATTTGTCTGTAAAGCAGTACATTTATTGAGGCTAAGCTTCTGAGAGACTACTGTTAACTTTGGTAGGATTTATATTCTCACATACTTCTGAGTCACTGGCTTGGTATGATGCCCAGAGGAGAGAAGTCTACAGAATGTGATTAAGACTAGAAATCAAAGCTATGCTCTGAGATGAGACTCCGACAAACATGGCGGAGTCAGACACCAGAGGCCACTGTCTCTTTTGCTGAATATATCAAACACAAGAGAGCCGCTCTTATCTGACAATGTAGAGGACACAGCTTCTTGAGAGGTTGATCAAATGATGTAGAGGAGAATGTCTACTCAATCAAGGAGAATAATGAAGGAGTTTTAGATTGCACACAATGTCAAATTTATTTTTACCATCGTGCAGTGAACCACAGGCATTCATTTATGGTCCTATCTGTACAAGAGAAGGGCGTCAAGACCAGCAGAAAATCACAACCACATGCCTTCTAATTAATGTAATTTATTTACTTTCAGCAATTACAAAAACAAAATGGATGGTTGAAAGATTAAACCACTTGAATCTGGTAATTAATAGTACAAACAGTTCCTATTCTTCAAAGAAATTTAGTACAAGCCTTTTGAACTTAGTCCTTTGTGTCGGTGTGCAAAAATATTCATGTTTCTTCTACCAGCTTCACCAGTAAGCTATGAATGAATGAACGCCTGCCATGGAGCCGCTTGTCATTTTACATTTTTTGGGAGGTGTGACCTCGTACAGTTATGAATGATATCTCGATTAATGCAAATTAAGATTTAAAAGTGTCGATAAAAAAGGGAAAGTGGATGTTGGGGGAGGCCCTGGATGGCTCGGAGGGGTGGAATAAAGCCAGTGTGAAGGCAATCAAACAGAAGTAGGGCTCTCTGGGATCCCAAAATGTGCTGGGAGCTCCGCCACCATCCCCCACACTCGAGGAGTTATAAAGAAGCAACCAATCGGCATCTGCAGAGACGGTCTCTGATTATTCACACCCTGCACAATGGGCACAGAGCCCACAGACACCTTCATAGCCCAATTATTGATCTTTTCGCATGATTTACAAGCTGATAAAATGATCAATCACACAGAGAGAGAGGAAATACACAGTCTGCAAATGCACTCAACAGAGTTATAATGAGTAAAAGCATTCTGTGGCAAAGCAAACAAACATATAGACCTTCCATCAAGTCCCTAAGGGCATTATTTTTTCTCTTTGATGTAAATTATTCCGGGGATAAAGAGTCTCTGAAGTACGGCGAGGCAGCTTCTATTCCTGAATGTGGCATTAAATATATAAAATCTTGAATAATGCAGGTTTATGCAGCTGGGGTAAAGATTTCCATTGCAATTTTCTGTGTGCTTTAAAGATTATTTCGTCCACTCGCTCGGGCTGTCGCATCAGTGACAGCAAAGGCCCCCTCAAAATGTTTATGGACTCTCTAGTCCTCCATTTTGCACAAAACATAAAAGGCAAGCCATGTTACTCAGTAGCTTTCAGCAAAGTTACCATGCAGGCATCTGCAGACTCATGCACTATTGTTGTCCTTTGTGGCAGCGTACCTATCTAGACGAAGTACGTTGTCTAAATTTGCATGGCCTTGACTGCAGCATGAGCTACCTAAACACACTTAAAAGAGGACTAAGCAAAAGCTTCGGCTTCTTCAATGACTATTTTGATTCGCAGACTAACTGTGAATGAACTCCAATCTAATTCTCAATTACTTACAGTCAGCTTAGAGTTAAATAAAGTGATCACTCACACCCAAACAATGAGTCCTTCAGGCATCACACTGAACGATGCAAGCCATGTTGTCCCTTATCCAAATCAAACAGACTTGTGTTTTTTTACATTTTAGCATGCAACTGCTTCTCTAACCTAGATGGCGACGCAATATACTTTTTAATAGTCCATTTAAAAATGGCATCAGCTGTTTTTCAGGACAAGGAAAACTTGTATGGGTCATTTAATCACACTACGCCAGCTTAAGCAAACCGTTTTGATTGATTAACATACGGAATCATCAATGACCTACCTGCAACGTTCTAGAACTTTCAAAAACATTAATGCATCAAGGTAATATATAGAAATATATTGTATAGATTGCTGTGAAACTGTTTGCCAAGGGATAAATGCATAGTTATTCCATACTAAGCCAAATCTGATATCCAACGGATCATGAATCACACTCCTGACAAAGTGCCTGCAAACACAAGTCACTGAAATACAGCGAGAAACATACAGACGGGATTCAACCGTGGCTAAAAACCAGCGCTGCGAACAGCTATGCATAAAATTACCTTTAATTCCAGTCAGAGCATCCCAGACGTTTCAGTGCAGCCCATGCAAGGCAAATGTGAGACACGGGAGCCGGATCCGCAAACGCCACAAAGCAGCCCTTTGCAATTTTTTAACATTCCCCTTGGGAAATCCTCCTCACGTTATTCTGTAAGTACAGTGCCTGTCCTTAGGTAAGTGCAAGGAAACTATCTATGCCGTCTGCAGTGGCCTCCATGTCCTCCCATTGTTCAAGGGAGTGTGAGGCAGGCATCCTACCCCAACAGACCCAGCCTACTACAACAGCTGTGGGCCAGCCCCACCACCTCTCCTCTGAGTGTCTCTCCCTCCTCCAACGGTTGCAGCTAAACATTAACCCTACAACTGCTGGAGAGGCCATAAAAAAGAGAGGGGGTTATATTTCAAAAAGGCACCCCGAACAAAGATGAGGACAAGGACGGATATCCGAACGAGCATAGGGGAGAAAATGGAGTTACCCAGGCAACTCAGCCCCTTGTCAAGGAGCAGGAGCTTCTTTTCTAAGAGGATTGAGACTGCTTTATCAGACTTGCACTGATTGGATTGCGACTGCAGATACTGTGGAAGTCAATGTGGAGCTGCATGACCAAAAACTGACCTGGATAAATAACACTGCTTCCAAAGATGCAAGTGTCTGGGAAAAGAAGAGACATCCCGGATACATACTTGAAATAAAAAAAGAATAATTTATAGAGCTTGTATATAAAGCTATAAGCTATATAGAAATATATCAAATAAAATGTCAAAACACATAACAAAATTACTAAAACTAAAATTAAACTGAAATTATAATAAAAAGCTAATTAAAAATATTAATAAACACTATAATAGTATATGAATAACAAAAAGTAAGACATAATACACTAATATTCAATATACCATGAAAATTATATCTTATGCAGTGTTGTTAAAATTATTTTGTTTTAGATATAAATAAGATCATTTTTGACTAGAAAACAAGTCCAAAAAAGACTAAAATTAAACAAATTAACCCTTTTTAAAGCACCGCTACATTAGCTATACACATTCAGACAGATGCCTTTGGCCAATACGTCACATCTTGCGCTGTTTTTTGGTGTTCACTTCCATTCAGTTGTGCTTCATCTAGCTGTTTTTGAAAGCATTTTATGTAAACAAACCCAACACCAACTTTTAAAAACATACAGTGCATCCTTAAAACAGATTAGGATGAACACGACAATCTATAAACTCAGGTATACTTCGTTTTCCATGTTCCGCTTTGCCTCACACACTCCTTTGGCCGTGAGCATGGACAGACGCATCTAGTGGGCCGCTCTTTTTGAGCGCTTAAATCACTCGCATATGCACAATAGCCCCGGGCTGCACGTGGACATCAGAGAACTGTAACATTGACGAAAATTACTTCATGCAGACAGTCCGCAAGCCAGAGCTAGTGAAGTAAACATAAGGTAACTCGCTGACTAGTCAATTTTGAAAATATGTCATTTATGTACATTACCTAAGTGTAGTTACAAAAGCTTTATTTAAGTCGAACTAAAGCAATCTTTTTAAACTGTCATGTAAATGCTTTAGTATGACTGAAATTGTACCAGTCTGGGTTTTGTGACTAAGCGTCCTCGTATGGATAATATGGATGTAGCTCAATTACACATTGTGTCATGTATACTTCAACAGACAGATTCAACTCTTGCTCAATTGTAACTGTGCATGTAGACATACTTATTGGTAACCTGAGAGGAGATTTTGACACTTTCGTAATCCTCCCCTAATAAAACTAAATCTCTTTGCTCAAAAGACAACAAAATTCGTGCAGGCACTTAAAGCTTATCTAAATATCTTTGAATTATGGCTACAGGGCTGTCTACAAGGCCAAAGGGCTGAAAAAGCTCATCCTGGACTTTGAATGAACCTCAGATCATGCCCTTGCCAGACACTAATTCATATGTGCATGCCTGTAGGAGGAATTCCACCTCAGCTAGTGTTAGTGTCTTCACATGAGACGACCAAATTGGATGAAATGACCCAAATGCAAGGGGGTCACATGTTGTCTTGGAGTCAACAGTCAAGGGGTGAGAGCTTTCTGGACAAAGGGCCATTGTGATCCTTTAAACTCCACTTTCATGTCTCTAAACACCCATGAGGGATAGACTTACGGCATTACATACAATGATCCGGATCCATAATGAGGCGTATTGTGACATGATGGTCTTAAATGCCAGGAATTCAGTCGTATTGGGAGGTCGTCTTGGCTTTCCAATGTGCTACCAATTCACTACCCAGCAATGACATGCAAAGTGGAGCACACTTGAAAGCGTCTGTAAGCCCCAGGTGCCAAGTGACATTAACATGCTTGTAACAGTTCTGCTGAACTACATCTCCTTAAACACAGCTGGACATTTGGCCTAATTAGAAAATCTCAAAGGAAGTAATGCAGGCAATTACATTTTAAGACTGTTGATTGAGCCTGACTGAGCAATATCTGGAGTTCACAAATGTTACATAACTACAATAACATTGTGATTTGATAGAGCTGATTAGGGAATCTTGGATTCTGTGTGGGAGACCATCAAATGCTTGAGAGAAGGATGTTACTGAGATTCCACAGAATTATATTCCACATACACAGAACAGAAAGAACTGATAAGAAAATATTTTAAAAGACGCATGATATATTAGACTACATCAGTTATTTATTTTTTAAACTAGTATCTATCAATTTTCAATATATTATTATTAAATGGTATTATTGCATTACTAATAGTATCTATTGTGCAATATTATTGTAGTGCATCTATGTGTCCATACATTCATATGATAGATATGAATGTACAATTTAGGCATCACAACATTGTTGTGAAATTTACTATTGATTTTAATGATTGATTTTAGTGTGTTTTTCTTTTAGATAGTAATACCATGCAATAATAATAATAATAATAATAATTAATGACTGCTAAATGAAAAAATATAAATCAGCTAATTGGTATCGGTCTGAATTTTAATACCATCCCTAATAAAAAAATCCTTGCGACAGACATTTGCTAGTGTTAGGTCCACTTCCATTTGCCAGCAGTTGGTTAATGACAAAGCATTTGGGTGACTCAGGATTAAAGGAATAAATCAGCCTCATGGCAAAAAAAAGCCCCCATTGAGAGTGAGACAGCTTAATGGGCGGTAATGTGCTGAACTCCATGTGAGGTGGAGGGGCTGATCCACCTTTTAGAAATGTGACACTAGTCTAAGGGGGAGAAGGAGTGGGCAGGACGCCACTGTGCTAAACTGACCGGTCCTTCTGCCCCGCGGGGAACACGTCTTCTGTATTACAGAAACAATTATGTAGCAGTAAACACTGAAAATTGAAAATTTTTACAATAAACAATGACTTATCCAACAGCATTTATCCTCCGCATCAATTCAAGGATAAGCGTGAACACTAAATTCCAAATATACCATGCAAGTACAAACTGTACAAACACGCTGAGACAAATAACCCGCCTGACAAAGCAAATTTGACTTGGAGGTCACAAACACACGAACAAACGCTGTATCTACGGGACAAGGACATCTGGTAAAGCAAAAGCGGAATAATCTTGTAGTCATGGTTACCACCTTGACTAAATGTCACCCTGGCTACTGTATTGGGAAAAAAGAGGGAGGGTCGGGATCGGGTTCCATTGATAAACAAAAGGAAGAAAAGCCACACGTTTAACAAACCTGGAAAAATTTTCTTCCATTGTAAAATAAACAGCTCAGCATAATAAAACAGTGGGCTATACGCTTGGTTTAAAGACTGGCATGTGAGTTGCGCTGGCCGAGCCGGTGTCCCCGTGCCGGCACTGCAGTAAAGTGCAGTGAAGCCTGGCTTTCAGCAGACTGCAGAGCCAGTGAACATGGACACAGCCACTAAACATCTGGACACCATGCGCCGTGGCTCAAAGCGAATGCCCTCCGGCACCTTCCAGCTGGGATGCACAGCCATTTCAGCTCCCTACCTTCCCTCTTTTGTTCTGCCGCATGTGGCCGCAGTCCACTTAGAAACGCAAGAATCTATATTTAAGCGTATTAATGTGTTCTGCGTGTACTTCCGTCCCACCATTAATCCTCTGCCCTACATACATAAGTAAATTCTGTCTGTTGGTTGTGATGCCTAAACAAAAATGTTTATTAATGATTTTATTGATTTTTTTAAAATAATGTCGCTTTTTAGTCCTCTGCGGTCCATAAATAAGTAAAATTTTTCAGCCAAAAAAGGTTGCAATGCCTAATTTAAAGCATTATATTGATTTGACATTGACAAAAACTTTTATTAATGATTTATAAAAAAATTTAAATAGTGTAGTTTTTTTAGTCATCTACAGTACATAAATAAGTAAATTCTGTCAGCCAAATAAGTTGTGATTTCTAAATTAAAGCATTACATTGATTTGAAATTGACAAAAACTTTTATTAATAAAACCATATTAATGTGTTCTGGTTGTACTTCTATCCAGCCGTTATACCTCTGTGCTACATAAATATGTAAATTTTGCCAGCCAAAAAAGTTGTGATGCCTAAATCACATTGACAAAAACTTTTATTAATATTTTTATTGATTGTTGTTTTTTTTAAATACATTTCGTTTTTTGCTTTATTTACATTACGAAATATGGATGACGTCTTCTGTTCTGCCACACTGTCCACTTATAAACGCTAGAATCCATATTTAAGCCATATTAATGTGTTCTGCGTGTACTTCCGTCCAGCCATTAATCCTTTGAGCTACATAAATATGTGAATTCTGTCAGCCAAAAAAGGTTGCAAAGATAACGGACCGCTCTTTTGAGCCAGATTGATAATGTGGGTGTTTTAAAAGAAGTGACCCTGTCGAAGGGCAGGATGCATATTTAACATAAACATAACATACATCAGCTTTGGTAAGCCTCTCGGGGGAATAGTTGCCGTAATTAACAGGCTAAAGGTCACTGGATCCTAAACCGCCAATGCTTTCATTTGGAGAGAAAAAAGAAGGGAAATGAAAGCACGTGAGGCCATTTTTCCTGGCTTTCAAACAGGGTGGTGGTGTGGCTTTTCAAAGGGGGTCCGTGACTGTAGCCTCTTTGTGCCAGAGAAAAGGGACCCCTGCCATATCAAATGTATGGTGCTGTACAACTGCCCCACTCTACAGCAATGACGATGAGGTTTGTTTGACTCTCATTGCTGCCCAACCAAATCGTAGACATTTATCCCCTCTCTCCCCAAACAGGATGTGCCATTGACCTGGTTTGCTTGAATTGATTAAGGCCACATTCCAAAGCATATTTCCGCTGAGTAAAACTATGAATTGAATGTTTATTGCAGCTAAAGACTGGCACACTGTGAGAAACCAAAGCAAATGTTTGCTTCGCTTTTTTTTCTTCTCTGCAGTGTGAATGTGAAGCA